ATGTTCGATTTAATTCGACAGATTGCAATGAAATCATGTGTTCTAGATCCTATTCCAGCGGTTATGCTGGAACATTGCCTAAAAGACACCGTGCCCATTATAACGAGAATAATTAATTTATCTTTGGAAAATGGTTTAATGCCTGACTCTCTAAAGATTGCTGTTCTTAAACCGTTATTAAAAAAGTGTGGTCTTTCCTATGAAGAATTCTGCAGCTTTCGTCCAATATCTAATTTGAAATTTGTTTCGAAATCTATTGAGAAAGCAGTTGCTGTACAATTAATGAATTATCTTGACGAAAAAACTACATGAGAAGTTCCAGTCTGCCTATAAGCCTCGTCATAGTACAGAAACAGCATTATTAAGGGTTCAAAGCGATATTCTCCAAGACCTCGACAATGGAAACTCTGTCATTCTCGTTCTACTGGATCTGTCAGCAGCGTTTGACACCGTGATCATTCGATCTTATTGACACGATTATGGAAGCGATTTGGTATAAAGGGTCGTGTTTTGGATTGGTTTACTTCATATCTTATATCTAGGAAACAATTTGTTCGTGTTGAGGGAACAGATTCGCTATGGCGTGATCTTGAATGTGGTGTACCGCAGGGATCGGTATTAGGTCCGCTGTTATATTCATTGTACACTGCTCCGCTTGCAGATGTGGCTAGGCGTCATGATCTCCGTTTTCACTTTTTTGCTGATGATGGACAACTTTACATTGCATTCAAAACAAATGATCCTGGTGAATTGATTTCATCTAAGATTCGTATGGAAAAATGTATATTTGAAATTAGAAACTGGTTGATGCTGAATAAATTGAAACTAAATAGTGAAAAAACAGAACTTATATTAGTCCATTCACGCTATCGCCCAATGCCTCCCTTGAATTATATCATGGTGGGTGATGACAGAATTGTACCAACTGGTTCAGCTAGAAATTTGGGGGTTATTTTTGATGAGTTCTTTAAATTGGAGGAACATATTAATGGTATCTGCAAGTCATCTTTTTATAATATCAAAAACATTTCAAGAATAAAGAAGTATTTGTCTCGGGACTGTCTTGAAATAATCATTCATGCTTTTATAACTTCAAGATTGGATTACTGTAACTCACTGCTATATGGTGTATCAAAATATTTACTCCAGAGGCTACAGAGAGTCCAAAATACTGCAGCACGTCTATTAACTGGTACTAGGAAATCGGAACATATTACACCAGTACTTATTAATTGCATTGGCTACCAGTCGAATATCGTGTCCAATTCAAAATTATCCTTCATGTGTATAAGGCTATGAACGACCTTTCTCCGCCGTATTTGAAGGAACTCTTGCATTATCATACTTCGCAGCGTTCACTTCGATCAAATAACTGTGAATTGCTCCAGATTCCCTGTTCTAGACTGAAGACATTTGGGGATAGATCATTTTGTGTCGCAGGACCACGGTTGTGGAACGAATTACCCATTAATCTTCGCATGTGCAAATCAATTACTGTTTTTAAAAAAAACTTAAAACATATCTTTTTAACTTATTTTTGAATAATGTATGACGTTGGTCTTAACATTTATATTATTAGGTTTGTTAGTGATATAGATTTTTAATAGTTTTAATATTAGATTTTACTGTAAAGCGCCTAGAACAGAACACAATTTGGTTGTGCGCTATAGAAATACTTTTATTATTATTATTATTATTATTATAAAATAACATGTATATAACGCGTGTTCTGATTGGTCGAAGCCCGCGTTTGGATCAGAGCATCCAAACATGGAAATATAAAGTTTTAAGAATTTAAATTTAAATTCAAGGCCTTGTCGTTATTTTATAAATTCGACTCGTGTTTCGCGCGCTTTTCTGAACTCTCGCAACATTCCCGCGTGTTTGGATCAGGCCATCGAAACACGGAAACCATTTAGTAATTGTATAATATCTGTAATGAATTCAGTTCCGGTACAGTATTGAATGCGATAGTGCAGCTTGACATTATGGTGTCATGTTCAAGTAGCATGGGCCATGGGAATTTTCAGCTGTGAATACGAGTTGATTTTTGAATTCAACAAATGCATAAAACCGACCCCCACCCCACCCCAGCAAGTCAAACACATATACTGGTAGACCACAATATCCAAATACCCAAGCATATAATTGAGGCAAACCACAACTGAAGCAAACTATAACATGACCACCATTACATTTATGGATTTATGCTAAATTACACTGCAAATGAAGAAGTTATTCGTCCTTATTCAGCGGTTATTCAAGTCCTTGTTCAAAACATTCACCGACCGTCCATCAAACACTGCAAAGTCATCTATGAAGCGTACTTAATGGACGCAAAACTACACCAAATAAGACGATCAAAAACTGTAGAGAAACCACGTTTGTTCTGACCCTCGCTTGAACCAGGATGGAGGTGAATTTCCAAACCAAGTGTACAGCTCTTTGTCTTGCGACCCTTGATGCGTCTTTCAATCTCTTTCATAATTTTTGACGTGAGCTTCGAGATTCTGAACTCCTCTGGCAAACGTTGTTCTAAAACAGCTTCCCAGAACCTGGCTCGAGAGCAAAGGTCGGTGACCAAGTAGTAAACGGTCGTTTTTTTTGTTTTCTGGCTATTTTCATCAGTTTTCGTGGCGACTTCGACAGTTTTCTTGAGGCCAAACCTCTCAAGGTCCGCCTCCTTCAAGTATCGTAGCATCTCCTCGTTGCTTATCTTCAGGTCTTCGTCATAAACACGAACCACATCGCTTTCTGCACCGTTTACTAAAACAACATCGCAAAAACAGCGTCTTTTAACTTCATGCCAAAGCCTTTAATGCATGTTATAAGTTTGGTTTAGTTTATATACTTTATACTGGTTGTGTGCACGATAGATTAACTCAGGAGTATTTGTAATGCATTGATTGTAATGTTTGTAATGAGATTTGTAATACAGGAGTACTTCAGCTGGTAACTTCACAATGGACTATTGTGGCATACCTGATTCAGAGAGACATGCGACCAGAGCAACAAATATTACAACGCAAAGTTTCATCGCCAGATTCACTTTAACTTTCACCAATCTTCAATCTTCCTTCCTCTTCGGTTTCCAAACTGGAATATAGATTGAGTTCGCAAACATCTCACTTTTATGCTTTCGATATGCCGGAAGCTGAGATTCCATGATCTCTAGTGAGATGTATTGTTCTCCTGATAAAACGATTTCCATGCGGTAACAATAAAACCACAATAATAATTGTTTACTTTTGAAAGCAAGTTGCAATCTCAAAATCCCAAATATCGTCCACGAGATGACAAAATTTCGGGGGATTCACGTCTCGTTTTATTTACTCTCAGGAAAAACAAGTTTTAAGTTGATTGACAAGTTATGCCGGAACTCTGTGATGTATTCGTAAATCTTTCAGAATTAATTACAAGCTTATTTTATTTATTATTCAATATAATGCAAGTGTTTTATGAGAACGATGGACAAAACGTAAAAAGAAAATACAAAAAAGTTGGATCCTGGAAATCCAGACCCGAAGACTCATAAATTTGATTTCCCCTCAACACAATATGACATCATAAAGTGTCATTGTCAAGAAGTAGGCGGTTCTTATCTCTGCAACGAGTTGTTTTGCAAATTCGCAACGAGTATTGCAACTCAACCCGAAGCTTCTTCGAGTTGAATTTCATCTTCGAGCAATCTGTACTTAGTTTTTTCCTTAATTTGAGCAAGTGGCCCTTCACCCAGTTTATTCCGAAGATAAACTGAGATTTGCACGGAAACTGGGGGCGATGAACATGTGAAATATATGTTTGTACTTGTGTATTACGGAAATGAAATTCTGAAGGGAGGAATATTATAAAAAGGAAGGGAGGAAATTATAAAAATAGAGTACAGATGAAGGACTCGTAAAAGAGTTCTTGAATAAATGTAACCAGCACTGCATGTGACCCGCATCTGCGATGGCAGAATTTTCCCAAGTCTGTGACAACAATAATAGTTTTATCCAATGACAGAATATTCACAACCACTTCCTTGTTGACTTCCCTAAGTCAGTTGCAAGGTCAAAATCCCCCAATAGATAAAAAAAAAGCTGAAACAAATGTCACACCACGAGACGTCCCTTTTTATTTACTCTCAGGAAAAAATCGGGAAAAGTTGTAAATTAAGTCACAAGTTATGCCGGCATTAACTCTGTGATGTATTGCAGAAATTGAATAAACATTTGTAAATCTTTCAATATTGCAAGTTTATTTTATTCATTATTCAATACAAATAATGCAGGTGTTTCTATGAGAACGATGGACGAAACGTAGAACGATTGTACACAAAACGTTAGATCCTGGAGATCCAGACCCAAAGATCAATTTGATTTCCACTCTGAATATAATATGAACCAGAGCCGAACTATCAGGAAGATCGTTTTAAAAGCAAGGTTTGGACGTTTCTTAAAGATCCCGATTCCAGCATTTCGGTAAAATCTGTTCGGCGTTATAATCTACATGTTGAACTGAACACTCCCAGAGTTCTCAAATACCACCAGCTTTGGAAGTCGGTGGCGCGGGGACACTGGCTAGCCCCATACATACACCCTGACTTTACTGAATCGATGTATTTTACTCAGTGGCGCTATAGCATTTTTATGAGGGGCAAATTCTGGGGAAGGTCCAGGATGAATTGAATTTTTACTCTATAGTTCACTGCCCCCCCCCCCTTGCTGGCGCCACTGATTTTATGTGAGAGTCAAAAGTTTTGATCTTGAATGATGATTAAAAAGTTTCAAGGCCCTGAAACTCGGTGTCACACTCAATATCAGTCAGAAAAGCAAGAGGTAAGCAAAGCTTCTATAATAGAAGATCGGAAACTCACCACATATAGTGGAAAAGTCGATGAGATCAAATTCTTTATGTATTCAGTAACAATGATAGAATAACACCGAGTCAAGGCAACCATCATTTATTAATTCAACTACTGCTGTCTATATTGACCGAAATACTACAGAGATAATCAAATGCAGATTATTAGTACAAGTATCTTATATTCCTTAGTTGTCGTAAACGATGGCTGCATTCCAACAAAAAAGGCACCAACCAGTGCAACCTCTAGCCACACGACGTTTGCTACCACTGGACTTGAGACAGCGATCTGGATGAATCTCTAAACCGACTGTGCATTCCTTTGTCTTCCTGTCAGAGATACGATTTTGAATTTCTTTCACGGTGGTTGAAAGGATTCTCAGATTTTTCAATTTCTCTGGCAAGCGTTGTTCAAGGATTCCTTCCCAGAACATGACTCGAGAACAATCATCGGTGACTCTGTAGTAGATGGTTCTCTTTTGCCTTTTTTCTCCATTTTCATCCGTTTCAATGGTGGTCTCCTCGGTTCTCTTAAAACCATATTTTTCCAGATCCGCTTGCTTCATGTATTCTTCCATCTCCTTCTCAGTCAATCTCAAATTCTCGTCAAAAACTCGAAGCACGTCACTTTCACCTCCATAAACTAAAAAGTTATATATAGATAAAAATAGTCCAATTATTTATTCTGTAATGCTTTCGATAATAAGGTCGAATGTAGAATCTTAGAAGTTGCCCTTTGTAAACGATAGTGAATTAAGAATTAGTCTTCTCATTAGAAAACCATTGAAAAGTACAGAATTCTAATAATTCTGACTGTTTAAGGAATGTTTACAACTCCGGTATGCATTGATTGTAGTAACGCGACAATCACACAAAGATAAAGACATGATACGAGAACACACCTGATGGGGACAGAAAAATCACCAAAACATGTACGAATAGAACTGCGATGGAAAACTTCATTATTTCGAGTGATAAATATCTTCTTTCTTCAGTTTTTCTTTCTTCAAGTTCTCCTTTCAGGCCAAACTAGAATCGATCTCAACCTGCCGAACACACGACTTTTAAGTTGTCGATATGGAAATTAGCTAAGATATCTCGCCGTGAAGATTGTTGCAAGCGTGGCCTTCCTTCAGCTCATTTCTTTATGTATTTTACATACCATTACGCTGCACAATGAAGAAATGTTTGGGTACAAATTAACCGCCAACTTCGGTACTTTCAAACTTCCGAAAATAAGGTGATCTGTTGGAATTTACCAACATGTCGGCAATGCCGGAAGTTCAATGCTTGACACACATAAACACGACAGTTCAAACCGGCGGACTTCGCGGTACTACGATCATCTTCTTCAGATAGATGTAAGGAAGAGAAAAAGAGTTTTAAATGTTCAGATAACGAACTTCATAATATATAACAAGCCATTCATTCATTCCACTGCAATACACAAAAATAGATGTGTCATGGTTTAAATTCGCGCCGGCATGTGATCACAGCACGAATCTGCGAGTCTCAATTAACTAGCCATGCATAAGATTGGAAAATGTCTCGATATACTTGTTGCAGAAAATTTAAGCCCACCGAACTTGCATGTAATTTGCGATTCTGTTTTGAATCAGTGAGTTTAGCAACGTTTTGCCTACGTTCAAAGCACAGAAACTACCAGTTGAAACCGGGAAACTTTGATGTAGCTGTATAGGCATACACACTGAGCTGTTTATCTTCCTGTGCTTTCAAACATAAAGGCGACAAGCTGGTAAACCAAACAGGATTTCGTTGTTTCATTGTGGTTACATGAAATGCAATATTGAAACATTTCATTTTTTATCTTAGGGAAAATATTTTACATTTTCTCGACTATATCGTCGCGCTTCGCTCTAAATATTTTTTTCCCTCAAGAGTTGAATTATACCCATGCAAATTGCTTGTCTGTGATTTAACTGAATTATTATTATAAACATAGTCGCCTGGCCCTTGCCAATTTTCGCGGCGAATATTCCGAAAACGGAATACATAGCCGCGCATGCATGCAAAGTTGGTGAATTTTGATCGAAGCTAAACGACACTACACATGCACATATTCTGTGTCATGCATCAAAACTATACGAATGAACGCATATTCTGCATGTTTACTCGATCGAAGCTAAACAACACTGCAGCATCCTGCAGGCATACATATTCTGTGTCTCGATCAAAACTATACGAATGAACGCATATACTCTGCATGTTTACTCGATCGAAGCTAAACGACAATGCAGCATCCTGCAGCATACATATTCTGTGTACTTGATCAAAACTATACGAATGAACGCATATTCTGCATGTTTACTCGATCGAAGCTAAACAACACTGCAGCATCCTGCAGGCATACATATTCTGTGTCTCGATCAAAACTATACGAATGAACGCATATACTCTGCATGTTTACTCGATCGAAGCTAAACGACAATGCAGCATCCTGCAGCATACATATTCTGTGTACTCGATCTAAACTATACGAATGAACGCATATTCTGCATGTTTACTCGATCGAAGCTAAACGACAATGCATGCACGCATATTCTTTGTACTCAGTTCTGACTCAGAACTTAACCCCAGTCTCCCCAGTGTGTATTGGAATTATTAAAGGTTTTTCCACGTAGTAGAAAGCATAAAAGGGGAACTTCAAAATGTATTTTTACATTTTGACAAACCTTTAATTCTTCCATACACGTCGTTTTTCGGATCAACGTATTCAACACACACACAACCGGGTTGATCTTTTAAATCGAGAAAATCTCGCGCCAACGATAGGGCGTGAATGGCATTTTATTACTCGTTGCGAATTTGCAAAACAATTCGTTGCAGAGAAAGAAGTCGTAACTCTTGCACGCGTGTGGCTCTTCTGCCAATCCCACCATGCAGATTTTATCAACGAAGCCGTGGTGAAGAAAAATTCAGGAGCCGCGTCGCTGCATTAAGGGGCTGTTTACATGAGCCCGGTTACCCGAGATTCAACGAAGCTTAAGAGAACTTTGAGGTATTGAAATAAATCTTTATGACACCAAACAAGCACATGCTATTGTTGTGGTGATTATACGACAGCCAGGATCATGACTGTTATCTGCTTATTTCAATACATCAAAATCATCTCACACTTCGTTGAATCTCGGGTAACCGCGAGCTCATGTAAACAGCCTCTGAGGCGGATTTCCACTTACAGCGAATCGTTCGCTAGCAAAATATTTGCATATTTTCTTTTGAATTGAGAGCACTCAAGTCGCACTTATCTATTTACGCTGTTAAAATTCAAAAGAAAACATGCTAATACTTCTGAAGCGAACGATTTCGCTGTAAGTGGAAATCCGCCTTTACTGGTGCACATCGTTCCGTCGATACAACAATGAACACCGTCATGGAATGCGATTCGCAATACATATTCGAATTGGTTGAAATTCGACAGCATCGTAATCAAATTTTTAAGCCAGTAATAATAATAATAATCAAGTTTTTTTTAAGTTTAAGTTTCTATATATTTCATAATGCATTTGATAAAAATAACACAATTTTGATGAATTTTGAAATGATAATTTATTTGACTCTCTTGCTATTTATGTTGAAAAAAAGACTACAGCATTAAAGGTAGCTTACTACTAGTACATTATTCTATCAAGCACTTTTTCCGTTTTCCGTTTACAACCGTTCAATGATGACACACCTTAGTTGCCGTAAACGATGGCCGCATTCCAACAAAAAAGGCACCAAGGGCAACCTCTAGCAACCCGACGTTTGCTGCCACTGGACGTCTGACATCGATCTGGATGGATCTCTAAACCGATTGTGCATTCCTTTGTCTTCCTGCCAGAGATACGATTCTGAATTTCTTTTACGGTGGTTGAAACGATTTTCAGATTTTTCAATTTCTCTGGCAAGCGTTGTTCAAGGACTCCTTCCCAGAACATAGCTCGAGAACAATCATCGGTGACCTTGTAATAGATGGTTCTCCTTTTCTTTTCTCTCCATTTTCATCCGTTTCAAAGGTGGTCTCCTCGGTTCTCTTAAAACCATATTTTTCCAGATCCGCTTGCTTCATGTATTCTTCCATCTCCTTCTCAGTCAATTTTAAATTCTCGTCAAAAACTCGAAGCACGTCGCTTTCACCTCCATAAACTAAAATTGACATACGATAAACTGTTCAATTCTGTATCGTAATGCATGTTATAAGTTTGGTTTAGTTCATATACTTTATACTGGTTGTGTGCAGGATAGATTAACTCAAAAGTGTTTGTAATGCATTGATTATAATGTTTGTAATGAGATTTGTAATGCAGGAGTACTTCAGCAGGTAGAAAGTAACTTCACAATGGACTGATCTATTGTGGACTGACCTGATTCAGAGAGACACGCGACCAGAGCAACAAATAATACAATGCAAAGTTTCATTGTCAGATTCACTTTAACTTTCATCAATCTTCAATTAATCTTCCTTCCTCTTCGGTTCCCAAACTGGAATATAGATTGAATTCGCCAACCTCTCACTTTTATGCTTTCGATATGCCGGAAGCTGAGACTCCATGATCTCTAGTGAGATGTATTGTTCTCCTGATAAAACGATTTCCATGCGGTAACAATAAAACCTTGCACAATAATAATTGTTTACTTTTGAAAGCAACTTGCAAGGTCAAAATCCCCAAATATGTCCAAAAGAAGCTGAAACAAATGCCACACCAATGAGATGACGAAATTTGAGAGGATTTGAGTCTCGTTTTATTTACTTTCAGGAAGAACAAGTTGTAAGTTGAGTCACAAGCCATGCCAGAACTCTGTGACTCCATTGCAGAAATTGTGAAAACATTCGTGAATCTTTCAGTGTTGCAAGTTTAGTATTTTATTTTAGCTGTTTCTATGAGAACGATGGACAAAACGTGAAAAGAAAACACACAAAAAGTTGGATCCTGGAGAACCAGACCCGAAGACTCATAAGTTTGATTTCCACTCAACACAATACGACATCATAAAGTGTCATTGTGAAGAAGTAGGCGGTTCTTATCTCTGCAACGAATTGTTTTGCTAATTCGCAACTCAACGCAAAGCTTCTTCAAGTTGAATTTCATCTTCAACCAATCTGTACTTTTTTTTTCCTGTTAGTTTAATCTGTTAGTTTTTTTCCTTAATTTGAGCGAGTGGCCCTTCACCCAGTTTATTCTGAAGATAAACTGAGATTTGCATGGAAACTGGGGGCGATGGATATGTGAAATATACATTTGTACTTGTATTGCTAATACGGAAATGAAATTCAGTGGGAGGAATTATAAAAATATGCCCACAGATCATGCAAGGAATGGTATTTAAAAGTTCCTGAGTAAATGTCACCTGCACATGAAGTTGGATCCAGTTTGAATCGGCCCAACAAAATATGATATTTTTGGACTTCCAGTTCTGATATTTCATTTAGCCTATTTTGAAGATAAACATATAGAAATTTGAAACTTGGGTCATTCATATGAAAATTGTGCCTTCGGAAATGAATACAGAGGAGTACGAATCGTGAGGATGCCCAATGAAGGACTGGTAAAAGAGTTGGTGAACAAATGTAACCAACACTGTATGTGACCCAAAATCACCAAACCAGCAAGAACTTCGATGCCAAACTTCATTTTCTTGACTGTTTTATCTTCTACTTTCTTCAGATTATCTTTCTTCAATTTCTTCAAAGCCAAACTCGAATTGATCTCAGCTTGCCGAACACACAACTTTTATGCGGTCGATGTGGAAATTATATCTTGTCTTGAAAATATCTATCTTAAAAATATTGACTGGCATTATCTTCCTTCAGCTGGTTTCTTCAGGTAGACGTTCGTTTATTTACCCTTCACAAGTAATAAAATCTCTAAGGGCGTCACTGGCGAGAATGTCAGGATTTGAGGTATCAAATGAATGTGCTAATGATCAACTATTCAAAAAAAATGTCCAAATATTCCTTCCGCATCTGGGCCTACTTTTTACCCAAAGTTTTTGCTCAACCAAATACGGCCAACTGCACTTCACCCCTCTGCCCTCAACACAGGGAAACTCGATTTTTATGTGGACGTAATCTGACTC